GGGCATCTCTGCCGCTTCTGCTCGGTGCCCATCCACACGGAGCCACGGCTCCCCCGCCAGCGGGAGAGGAAATTGGACACGGCCACTTCCCGCGCCCGTGACAGTGACTCTCAATCATGGTCCACTCGCTGGCCACACCCTGGACAGGAAGGGAAACTTCACTCGGCGCTGTCCTTCCAGAGAGCCGTGATCGCTTTCCAGCTCCTGATAGGAACCTAGCGTTGATTTTTTTTTTTAATACCCAAAGCAAAATTTATTTGAAAGCCACCGAAGTAAGCCTCTGTCCCTTTTCTGCCGGAAGCCCCCGGTAGAGAAGCGAAATTGTGTATTCGCTGCTAAAAAAAGCCCCGGCTTATACAATTTTAACAATAGAAAAATGATCTTTGTGCTGCGGTGCATGGATGCTTCAAGGAAAACAGGCGGCCCGTTCAGGTGGCTGGTGAATTACAAATGAGCGGTTCGCCTTTGTTTTGAGTGACAAGCAATTTAAATGCAGTCTTACGTGGAGGCCTGGAAATTCTTTTCCCCCAGAAGAGAGAGAAGGAAGGGGGCTGGGGGGAGAGAGGGGAGGAGCGAGCTTCCTTTCGCGCTGAGCCATGATCTTAGCTGCCACTGAGCGGAGGTGAGAAGTTTGGACTTCATTTGATAATCATAAAATCAGTAGTTTTGTGATTGGACGTAATTGATGATTATACTGTTGCTAATAGCGGGCCTGCCAGCCGCGCTTGTGGGACATTTCATTTTTGGCGCCGCTGCCAAGGCCTGGGGGAGGCTGTCAGGAATGCATCGGGGGGCCGCATTCTGTGGGAGAGAACGTGTTCATTAATGCGACATTTGAAAACGCTTTGCTCCGTGCCTTATTTTTAGCCGGGAATAATCACAAATATTAAAATAAAGTTGCAGCATGTGTCCCCCATCTCATGTCCCCCACCTCGCCAGGCACCCTCGTTTCGAGCCTGGGAAGGCGTCACACCGCCTGCCCCCCGCAAAAAAAAAAAACACCAGCAGGGTGGGGGGTGGTCCACCAGCAGAGAGGGCAGTGACTGTCCGCTCCAGACTGGGGGAGGGACCTCCAGTCCAGTCCCTTCTCTTTACCGATGGGGAAACTGAGGCTCAGAAGGGCAGTGTGACTCCCGAGGGTGCTACTGAAGCCCCGCCATAGTGGACACTCGGTGACTTGGGGGACTTCTGGGGGCTCCTCTTCCTTCCTCCCCCATGTGGGCTTCATTGGAGCTCGCGACCTTGGCTCTCCTGAGAGGGGACCAGCCCTGCGTGGCTCCTGGGGCATCTCCTCCACCCCCCTGAATCTTCCCACAGTGCTCCCAGGAGTTGATGCCCCGGCCCTGCCCCTCCCGCTGCCTAGGTTCTCTCCAGCTGCAGCATGTCAGGACATCCCGCAGCCCCTCAGTTCTTGGGCTGACCCAGGAGGCCCCATTCCAGCAGGGCCTCCCCTGCTACCCACTTTGGCTCACTCACCTTCCACCCAACGGGGCTACATGTTGGTGCTCCCATAAGCCAAATGTGCTTCTGCCCCAGGGCCTTTGCACCTGCCGGTCCTGCTGCTTGGAAAGCCCTTGCCTGGATCTCTGCAAGCTGCTTGCTGTTGGAGCGCACATGCTCCCCCATGCTGCCCGCCTGCTGCCCGTCCCTCCCTGGCCGCCCTCTCGCTTGCTCACGGCCCACATCATTGCTGTGCTTGCCCCTCTCTGCCTGTGAGCCTGTTCCCGGACGCAGGTTTGGTGCGTTTGGCCTGATGTGCGTCTAAACCCGGCACCTAGCCCTGTGTGTCTTTCAAAGTCGCTCTGGAAATGCCTGCTGAGGAGACGCGTGTGCTGCATATCGGGGACAGGACAGGCACTGCGTCGTGCTGTTACATTTTGCTTCTTACATTGTTGTTGTTTATTGGGGGCAACACCCAGCGATGCTCAGGGGTTACTACTGGCTCTGCTCTCGGGGATCACTCCTGGCAGTACTCGGGGGACCATATGGGGCGCCGGGGATGGAACCCGGGTCCACTGTGTGCAAGGCAAGTGCCCTCCCAGCTGCACTGTCTCTCCAGCCCCGTGTGTCACTTCCTTAAATCAGTCCCTGCCTCCAGGTGCGCCCGGTTCAGTTAGGGAAACAACGCAGTCACCCCATCTTCAGGTACTGAGAAGACAAAAGAGCACCAGAGGGAGGTGGCTGCCTGCTGGGGGCATCTAGCGACCCCCAAGTCTCCTGGGCAAACCAGCAGACCCCCCCCCCCGCCCCACCGCAGTCTCCGAGTGCCCCCCCCCATCAGCACATACCTGGTGCTTCTGGTGGGAAACCCAGTACCTCGTTCTCAGTCTCGCGAGAGGAGAGGAGAGAGCGTCCTTTCCTCTGGGAGGGTCGCGCCCTTGCCATCCCACCCCCCAGGCCCCCAGCCCTCATCTTTGGTGCCAGACACGGCTAAAGAGAGCTCCCGTGCATGCATGTGTGTGAATGTGTGTATGTGACTCTGTACATGTAGGATGTGACCGTGTGCACATTATGTGTGACTGCGTGTGAATATGTATGTGTTGTGAACATGTTTGGTTATGTGTGCATGCATGTGTGAATGCGTCAGTGTACAAGTATGTGGTTGTGTTCTGTGACTGCATGTGAATATGAATGAGTGTGGTTGTGTGTGTCGTGTGGCTGCATGTGTGTATGTGTTTTGTGTATGACTGCATGTGAACATGTATGTGTGTGGTTGTGTGCACATGGATATGTGTGTGTTTGTGTGTGCGTGTGTGGCTGGCCACACAGTCTGTGTGTGTGTCGTTGCCCGCCCTGATGTGCAAATGACCTGAGAACATATTCCCAGCATGCCCTGCTCCTGCCGCCCTCCCGGAACCCACGTTCCCTCCCTCTGCGTCCAGGGAGTAGCATCGGGCCGGGGAGGGGGGCGACGGGGGGCCCAGCCCTGCATGGTAAGAGCCCATCCCCGCCCGCCTCGGGGAGGGAGCCCACGTTCTCCTGTTCTCCCGCAGACCCAACCAGCCTCGCCCTCCTGGCGCCCAGGTCCCTCAGACCGGCCCAGCGTGCGCGCATCAGAGCGGGCGGGCGGTGTGAATGCCGGCGCTATTTCTGGGCGTCTGACCTTCTGGGTGTCTGCAGCCGGCCCCCCGCCTCCTCCCTGCCCAGATGGCCTCCAACGCTCTGCCTGACACACGCCAAATCTGTCCTTCCTGAACGTCCTCCCGCCCTTCTGCATGTTGGCCAGCCACGAGCAGAGCCACTGCCTGGCCCCCGGCCTGGCCCGTGCTGACGGGCAGCTGCCCGCCCTGGTCAGTGCCAGATCACTCGCTAAAGATGTTTCCCGCCTCCGTGCCCGCCACCGCTGTAGTCCATTCCTTCCCCTGCCCTGGGCCCGAAGACCAGCCCAGAGGTGACCCAGGGTTCAGCCTTGACACCTCAGAACTGGCCTAGGGTGGTGCCGGCCTGTGGGGCCCCTTCTCCACAGGGTGCCCCGACTCCAGCCTTGTGGAGCCAGAGTGGCTTGAAGTCAGCCCCCCACGCCCCCCCATAGATGAGCCACTATAAAGCGGGATGGGGCCACTGTCCAGTAAGGGACAGTGCCTGGTTCCCAAGTCACAGCCAGAGTCTTCGCCTCATAAAGCGCCTGTTCGCCTGTTGGGTCCACACTCCGCTGAAACTTGACTGTCACGGACAGATCGCCAGCACCAGCCTCGTGTGCGGTGCAGAGTTTGCTTGTCGCTCCACACTCGGTCAGAGGAGATGGGGGCGGGGGGCAGTCCTGTTGATGGGGTTTGTCCGCAGGGGCGACACCGGGCAGTGCCGGGGCTCAAACTCGGGACCTGCAGCATGTGAAGCTGGCGCTCCTCACCGAGCTGCCTCCAGGCCCAGGCACCTGGGTTTTTTTATTAAAAAAAAAAAAAAACTATAGACCCACCAAGTTCATGTGTAGTGCAGGACTTAATCTTGCCTTTCACACTCACAGCGGGGTGAGAGCCACACCCGGCGGTGCTTGGGGGTTGCTCTCGCTCAGTGCTTGGGAGTGACTCAGCAGTGCTCAGGGGACATGTGGTGCTAGCCGCCGACACAAGTGCCATACAGGTGCCCTTACTCTGCGCTCTGTCCAGCCTTGCCCGTCGGCTCCTGCTGGACGCCGCTGTGTGGCACCACAGTCACATGCCGCCCCACCCAAGAGAGACAGCCAGGCGGAGAGCAGTGTCAGCCCCCGATCAGAAGGAGGGAACGTGGGGGGTGACTACAGGGGTGAGACCACGGGCCCGTGGTGCAGTGGTGAGGACCCTCCATGGGGAGAGGAGAGACGTGAAGCCCCAGAAATTGGTCCTCCCCAGGTATGTCCCCTGGGCATCTCTGCCAGTGGGGAGACAGGGCACTGGGTAGCTCTGCACCCCGGTTTCCCCCACTCACGTGCCCCCCAGTCAGAAGCAAGAACTGAGCCCCAGGAACAGGCCAGGAGCTCTGCCTGTCACTGTCACCTTCGCTGTTCACTGGACTCTTCGACATCTCACCAGACCAGAGCACCTTTGCTCTCATTTTCAGCAATATTTCCCAGATGTGTCCCGCCCCACCCCCTGCCCCCTGCCATAGCCATGAATCTGTTTGGTTTTTGATTTTGTTTTTTTTCCATTTTTATTACAAGACACTGTTGAGCCTTCAGGGTCATTCTTTAATACCAGGACCAGCAGTTGGTAACCAGCCACCAGTGCAGGGTCTTTGCCACACCCTGAGTTCCATGCACTGTCACTCAATCCTGGTCATCAGGCCCGGGAGCTCGGGTCTCCTTTTGCCCCAGGATCCGAGAGGACCAGTGATTTCCCCCAAGTCACACAGCTGGACGGATGCAGAGGAGCTGGACTTCGAATCCAGACTCGGGAGCACAACTCCACACTTATCAATTTCCTCCCTGTGTGCCGCCCACACACACCCTCCCGTGCAAAGTGATGGGATTTGCTTGTGGACCCGGATGCTGTGTTTACATGTCATTCTTTCTCTTGTTTCCAAAGGTGGTAGCACTTAGTAAGAGAAGCCAGGAGGCCGAGGCTGCTTTCCTGAGTGTTTACAAGCAATTAATTGAAGCACCAGGTAAGAAACCCTTGGGCGCTGTAAATAACGTGCAAGAAACGGCAGAGTGGGGGGAGGGGGGGGAGACGAGACTGAGCCGTCCATGATGAGAGGTACACCTTACACCTGGGGCAGGCGTGCCCGAGGGAGGCCCACGCGTCTCCCTGCAGCCCCTCCGTCTCCCCCACTCGCTGTGGCGGCCGGGAGGGCCCTGGCCTTCCCCGCAGAGCCAAGGATCCTACCCTCTGGGACCCCCATCCCCTTTGCCGCTAGGGACCAGGCGCCTAGAGTTCTGTCCAGCAGAGGGCGCTGGAGGGCACAGCCCACCTCACAGCCTCAGTGTCTCTTTCCGTGTACACGGAGTGTGCGGACAGACGAGAAATCACGTCCTGCCCTGTTCCCAATGGCTCCCAGAGGTGACAAGCCCGAATGTGGCCCCGCCGATGGAAAGGGAAACAAACCTTCGCCTTGGGGAAGGTTCAGCAGGCGGGAGACAGGGATCACTGAGGGGCGCAGGAGGGGACGAAAGTTCTGGACATGCATCGAGGTGATGGTTGTGCCACACTGAAAAGGCACCACTTTGTCTGTTAAAATGGTCCGTTAGGGCTGGAGAGAGTGTCCACGGGTCGAGGCGCTTACCTTGCACGCAGCTGGTACCACTGAAAGAAATAAAATATTAGAAATCAAGCCGGGGGAGAGTTCCCGGGAGGGTCTGGTGGCTGGGTCTGGGCCTTCCTCTTTGGCGAGTGCGGGCGCATCCAGCTCCGGGCAGAGGTTTGTGGACGCGTTCGTCTCTCTCACCAAGTTCCCCTTTATTCAGCTTGTCCCCTGCCGCCTGCTCGTTTCTGGTCCCCAGTGGGAGCCAGGAGAGTCATGATCTGCTTACCTGAGCTGGAGGGGACCCCTGCAGGCTACCCGGGAGCCCCCAGCTTCTGAGGGCACGTGTGCTCTGCAGACACTCGGGGTGTCTGTCCTCACAGCCTTGTGCTTGGGATCCCTGGACACTTGGAGGATACCCCAGAAGTGCTTCCTGGGAGACCCCTTCCCCGCCCCCACCCACAGTACCACTTTCTCACGGCTCATGTGGACACGACAGTTGAATCAGCCTCTCTAAGCCCCAGCATGTATCAGCGTGTAAGAGTGTGTGTGTGCGCGCATATACCTGCTTGTGCACGCTCATGTATGCGTGTGCATGTCTGTGTGTATGCCTGTGTGCGCACACCCGTGCTTGCACGTACGTGTCTCTGTGTGTGTATGTTTGTGTGTGCATATGCCTGGGTGTGCATGCCTGTGAGTGCATGTGCATGTCTGTGTGTGTGCATATGCCTGTGTGTGCATATGCATGTCTGTGTGTGTATGTGTGTGCGTATGCCTGTGTGTGCATGCCCGTGAATGTGTCTGCATGCGTTCGTGTGCATGTCTCTGTGTGTGCATTTCTGTGTGTGCATGGGTATGCATGTCTGTGTGTGCTTGTATGTGTGTGCGTATGCCTGTGTGTGCTTGTCTGTGTGTGCGCGTGCATGTCTGTGTGTCCATGTATGTGTGTGCGTATGCCTGTGTGCATGCCCATGCGTGTGTGTGTGTGCACACATACACGCTTGTGTGTGTGTGTGCACACATACACGCTTGTGTGTGTGTGTGTGCACACATACACGCTTGTGTGTGTGTGTGTGTGTGTGTGTGTGTGTGTGTGTGTGTGTGGTTGTGCATGCCCATGCATGCATGTGTTTGCTTCCTGAGGAGACGTGAGCTGCTCTGGGCCCGGCCCCAAGTGATGCACAGAGACCCCGGGACGCCCAGTGGTCGTTGGCTGGGTTGACAGACTCCAATGCAGAAGGGTCTCTGGACCCAAAGGCACTTTTTCTTTCTTTCCACTTTCACTCCTCCCTGGTGAGCCTGTGGGCCTGGCCGCACCAGGGATCAAGTGCTTTGAGCTGTTGTGCCCTGGAGGTAGGCAAGAGCATTTATGGAGCACCTAATGTGTGCCCTGCACCCAGGCCAGGAGCTGGCCCAGCCCTGCATGACATTGCATCTGGTGGCAGAGGCAAGGAGGAAACTGGATAAATAAACCTGTCACTGTCCTCCCGTTGTTCATCGATTTGCTCGAGCGGGCCCAGTAACGTCTCCATTGTGAGACTTCTTGTTACTGTGTTTGGCATATCAAATACATCACAGGTAGCTTGCCAGGCTTTGCCGTGCGAGTGAGATACTCTCAGCAGCTTGCCGGGCTCTCCAAGAGGGGCGGAGGAATCGAACCTGGGCCGACCAGGTCAGCCGCGTGCAAGGCAAACACCCTACCTGCTGTGCCCATAAATAAACCATCCTCCAAAAAGTCAGAGGAGGGACCAGAGCAACAGCACAGCGGCTCATCACTTGCCTTGCACCTTGCTGACCTGGGTTTGATCCCCAGCATCCCATATGGTCCCCTGAGCCCCACCAGGAATGATCCCTGAGTGCAGAGCCAGGAGGGAGCCCTGAGCACCACTGGATATGACCCAAAGAACAACAAATCCCAGGGGAGTACCAGAGTGGGGGTCTTGACAAGGGGCTACACCCCACCTGGAGCAGAGCATCATTCCTGGGATTCGTGGTGGAACCCTTCTCTTTCCAGAGCTGACTGTGGGGCACGGGGCTTTCCAGAAGGTTCTGCTGCCCTCCCCGCCTCTCCCCAGACGGTCGGTCACTCTAGACCTGGTGCTGACTCCACACACCTCATTCCTAAGCCCTGCTCCCCAGAAGTAGGGGGCAGGGGAGATGCACGACCCAGCTGTCACCAACCAGAGGACGAGGAGCCCTGAGCACAGAGACGAGCAGCCAAACGGCCCCGTCAGGGGCTCTAATTCATTTTCAAGACATTTAAGAATAACAAAATGTTTTAATGATTTCTTAGGGGAATTAGGAAGACATATTTTTGTTCTCATTAAATTTTCTCCTCAGACACAAGACCCAAATGTCAGATGTGTTTGGGGGCTCAGAGCTTCGCTGCTCGTGATCCCCCCCACCCTCCATAAATATAGCACTCCTAGAGAAGTTGCCAGGATCTGCACTCTCCTGTTTTTATATTTCTTGACAAATTATTTGTCGAAATACTCTTCCCCCCGCCCCGGCACCCAAGTCCTGATTCAACATTTTTGTTTTGAATGACTACTGCCAACACAAATCTTTGGCAGAGAATGCGATACAGCGTGATTGCTCAGCAAGTATTTTGATAAGTGTGCAGCCTGTATGTCTGTAATTACGAAAGAAAACCGTAAATCTTCTGGATATTGTTCACACAGATGTGGCGTGAAGTGAGAAAAAAAGCAGTAAAACGTGTTAAAAGCATAATTAATGTCATTGTTGTGGAGGATGATTTGATTTAAACCTTTCTGACTTCTGTGGCGGTGACGGCTGATTTCTTTATCAGTCTCGCTGAGGCCCAAGGTGTGCGACCTGCGCTGCAGAGAGCTGGCTTGTTAGCTGAGCACAGAGCGAGGGGGCAAGGTCCATCCTGGGTTTGATTCCTGCCCTGCTGTGGTTTGTCACAGCCCACCCAAACGGTCTCTCCCTCCGCTCCTGCTCTCAGGAAGAAGAAGCCAGCCAGGCCCGAGGCTCTGGGTAGGACTCACTCGAGGCTGTGTGACCACGGGCCACTGCCTGACCCTCGCTGATGCCTTTGCCACTGGCAGGGCAGTAGTAACAGAACCCGCCGACCAGACAACGACCGAAGGGTTGGCTTCTCAGGGCCTGGATGCTCTCTGCAGGTTCTACCTCCGTGGCCTGAGGCAGAGCTGACAGGAGTGGGGGACACGCTGCACTGGCATAGATGTCTCAGGACTCTGCTCATTGTCAGGGGGACACAGGACAAGTGACCCAGGGAACAGGGTAACCCAGTCTGCCGACTGGAAAAAGGCTTCATTACGATCTGCTGCCATCAGATGCGGGAAACACATCAGGAGCAGCCAGGCAGGAGTGCACGTTGCATGGCTCCCCCACAGTGCGGCTGCGCGTGTGACAGTCCCGGCTGTGGCTGCCATATCCCTGCTTGGCCGGAACGCGGGGGCTGGGAGAGGGAGCTGGAACTGAACCAGGCTGGAAGTCGCCATAAGCCGGGATTGCGGACAAGGAAGACGAGGAAGGTTTTTCTCCTCGCCGGTGCGTTTTTCGCTCCTTTCTTTGCTAACGCTCGCGTGTCCGATACCATTCAGACGAGTTCTTGCCGGAGTCACCAGTTCCTCTGAACTTTGTCCGCGTTTCCGTGCGTGAGGTCACTGTTTTACTGGTTGGAAGATGCTCTTTGTGTATTAGGGATGTTCATCTTTGTCCTGCTACACACAGTTTACATTTCTTACCCTCTCGGGGAAAGCACAAGAGGTAGGTGGAGCCATACCTGATGGTGGTCAGGGCTTACTCCTAGCCCAGTGCTCAAGGGTCACTCCCAGTGATGCTCAGGGGACTTCCGCAATGCCAGGGATTGGCCCCCGGCCAGGCCCCCGGAGTTCGCTTTTGTTTCCCGGCTCCGTTTTTCTCTTACATGTGGCCCACAGCAGGTGTTCAAATATTTTCTTAATGAAGCAGGGAATCCTGTCAGGTCTTTGGGTTTTATGTTCTGGGTTTTAAAAGCCCTTCTCATCTCCAGTCTGTAGGTTTTTAAATACTTTCTTGATCTGAGTCTTTTTTCATGTGGCCTCATTGCTGGCAGCCCGGAGGGAGGTCATGAATTTCGCCGTTTTTGTGTCAAACAACTTCTGCCGCCATCTAGTGGAAAGGGTGGGGGTTGGCACGTGGGAACCCCTCTCTGCCACCGCACCCCTCTCTTTCCCGAGGAGCTGCAGGGCCACGAAAGAGGGAAAGCTTGAGGGGGTCTGTTTTGCCTTCTATGCTGGACGCACCCAGTGGCTGCAGGTTGGCAGAGGGTTTGGGCCAAAGACTAGAGACCAGCCTCTGCATCAACCACCATCCTTGCAGAGCCGTTTCTGGGGCTCACCCTGTTCGCCCCAGAAAGAATCCGGAGTTCCGACATCCGTCGACGAGCAAGAATC